AAAATTTTGATCTTTAAAGAAATACTGAATTGAAAAAGAACAGGATCAAACTTCACGTTACTCCTTTAGTGTTGGCAGTGTAATTTGTAATAAGTACCCCTGATGCTTGCTACTAATGAAGTAATGATGTTGATGTTGCAATAAGGAAAAACAGTTATAACTGTCTTAACAAATGTTTCGTAAATGCAAACTGAGTAAAAAGAATCATGTTGAAAATCTAAATGGCTTCTAAGACTATTAATGTTCTATGAGAGGATGTCACCATAGAGCATAATAAAATACTATTTTTTTTAAATACTTTTGTTCTATTGACTATTTTGACTACTGAAACTATGCTGGGTGTGTTTGCTGGGTGATTTAAAAGCAATTCGGCTCATCCAGATATTTTTGATATGTCGCTTTCATATTAGAACAGCTGTAGTAGCCCAATTCAACCTCCCTTCAGTCAGGTTAAGTGACACACTGCTTAAGTCACCAATAACACAAAAATATATTCCATACGTTATTCTGAAAACATGAGCTGCCAACGTGCAATTCTGGTCACCATTTTTTAGTACTTACGCTTATTGAAAATTACCTTTCACCTACTTAAATATTTTTATTCTTTCCACACATAAGTACCTATTTTCATTCTTTCCACTCCTGCTACATTCACACCCTTCGTTTTGTGCTTACAAGTGGGAATTAGCACAATCATCTTTAAATGTCAAATAAAAGGAAAGCAGGAATCTGAGTTGGCAAGAGAAGGTAAAGAGAAGGGCCCACAAATTATATATACAAACCCACAGGGACAATAACAACAATAACAAAATCATCAACCTTTTCCTTCTACTGAAAAAAAAAAAAAAAAATTGAGGGTTTTGCTAACTCAGTTTTCAGTAATAGTGATAAGATGTTTCCATTTCAGAGGCTAAGTTGATCAAATACATACATATACACACACACATATATATGTAGAACCAAGGTACTCTTTCTTCAGCCTGTTYGTGGTAGCTCTTTGTGGCTCCTTCCACGAGAGCAGCCCGGGCCCTCTGTGGATCCCAGGATTTGGGCACTCAGTACTTTCACAGAATTCCAGAATCTTCCCAGAATTCCGCATTTCTGCATGCGAGGCCAATGCTTCCCGCCTTCTAGGCGGCCCCTGTGAAACGTTTTTGGAGGAAATCCACCCTCCGGCTGCTAACAAATCCTGCAGGGAGGGTTTCGGGAAGTCAAGCGTGCTGCTAAGCAGCTCCCGAGGCCTGGTTAAGTGCTGATTTTTAATGTCAGCCCCATRTCCATCACAATTCTCTTAGTATTGTAAGCTATTTAAGCTATTTGTTTCTTCTTATTTATTTTTCTTCTTTAGTTTTATACATTGGTGTAACACAGCTCTTAACACAGTGCTGTCACAAGTTGACTCTTGTGGTAGTTCTTGCCATTTCTGGTGTGGTATAGAAGAAAGAGGTGATTTATAAGATCTAGACGATGCTCTCATACATTTGGGTGGAGATTCAGAAGGAAATAGTGATTCAGAGGCCCGGTCTTGTAAAATGTGTGACCCACGAGCTGTCTTATTTGCAAGACAAGAGCTACTGTGAAACCTGCCAGCTCCTGCAGCCGTCCTGGTACCAGCCGATCACTTGTCACCAGCAGCTGGGTCTCACATCTTACTCACGCAGGTGCCTGTTCCCCTCAATCTGGCATGAAGAGCAGGGACATATGAAATGACTCAAAGCTCCTTCCTGGACTCGTCTCCTATTCCCTTGCAGCCTTCAGAGGTTCCACAGAAGGTCAGAGATGGCTGCTGTTTTTCCTAGGAAGGGAGACAGGATGTGTGCTTAGAGGGTCTTCTTTTCGCTCCCTGTTTACATGTTGTTTTCTTGCCGATGCTCCTTTCCCTTTTTCTCAAGTTTTTAGCTTTGTCCACAGCATTATTCACTCATCCTTATGTATTTGTAACAATGTCTCTTGTCATATTAAAATGTTATTCTTTCAATTAAATTATTCCCCAGTCCTCAGATTATTATTGCAATTTTAAGAATTTCTAATGAGAAAATTCCCCCCTCATACTTTAAAGAGATATYTTTGAAGCTGTGAGGTACTTTAGGCTCTCAGTCAATGTCTCCAGAATTAAAAAGMAGCTTTTTTCACTTATGCTTATTTTACTACAAACCAGAATCGCTGCACTGGCAGAGATTAAGAAAAGGTGTATAAGTCTTCCACACTGCAGAGAGTATAATCAAGGCCAGGAAACGTCATGAAATTCTGTTTGTGCTATAAAAACTTGGAGAATCCGAGTGAACAGTTATAATCGCTCAATTTACATAATTTAATTGGGGGCAGCTTGGAAAGCTGCTGCACTTCGGTTGCCCTGGAGCTGTGTGCTTGTGCCATGAAGTTCTTCATGAGCCCATGTGCAGCGCAGCACGTTCCATCCTGCCAAGAAGGGGAACCAATTTGCTAGCTGAGAGCTGGATCCACTGATAACAATAAGATTATCTGACAGCTGTGCAGACTTGAGATACGAAGAGACACTATTTTATGCACGGAAAAGGAGAGAGCAAGAGCACCGAGACAAAAAATGCGTCGAGCCAGCTCCATTCCTGGAATACGAATGGCAGAGTGTGCTGCTGTGGTATGTTCTGGATATCTGCATCAGATGGGACATAACCCTTTATTGTCTCTCTACCCCATGATTTCTTCTCTTCCTGTCAAGTTTAATGGTTTAATGTACTAATTAAAGCATAGCTATAAGCTTTAATCCTAAACTTGGTTTGAAAAGGATAAACTATGTGCCTGCTGGTATCAGGCAGAGGGTTATTTCAAGACGGTTGTTTCCACAGGATAGCACCTAGTCTGTGTTTCACTTCATTTTAACAGTGTTCAGCTCAAAACAGAAAGCCAAAATACTTCATCAGCCATATGCATGAAAAGTGAATCCTCTTTCTTTCTCTAGTCTCCCTTGTCATGACTTTTTGCTCAAACTTATGCTTTGCATAAAATATGCACCAAATAAACATGGTCAAATATGGGATTGAGAGGATCCAAGATGGGAAATTTACCTGTGGAATAGCTATTATTTTCTGTTCTCTATTTTAACTGATAGAAATGTTTTGTCATGTGAACAAATGTCATATATATATTCCCTTTATATTGCAGCATCAGCAAAAGCAATCCAAAATCCCGGATCAAAAGCAATAATCGTGTCTGCTTTYACTTGTGTAAAGATCTGCTTTGAAAACAGACACAGATGACCCTGCAAAGAAAATTAAATTATTATTTCCTCTTTTTTTTTCCCCTATTGGATACACCGAAAAACATTTTAAAAGAGTGTTCAGTTAACATGATTTTGAGAACTATGCTGTTACAKCCCAAGAACTAGGACATATTGGTTTCTCTTAGAAGTGCATCTACATACCTGTCTCAAGATTTATAATTCTCTCTGATTAGCACTTTGAAATGGAGTACTTTGCTATACTGGAATACTGTTAATATACATTTCCTGTGATGCWGTATTATGATAATGTATATAAATATTTCCTGAGGGAGATTTCAATGACTTATAACTAAACTAGTCTTCAGGTCAAAGTACTCATCTGCAGCTTACAAACTAAATACAAAGCAGTGTTTGAAAAGTAGTCACATATAAACACAGCACATTTTTGATTTATTGTAAAAGAAAATTAAACAAAAATCATATCTTGGGATAAGATTTTTAAACATAAATCAGTAAGGAATCATCTTAGTGTTAAACTTCTCCTAACATCTCAAATGTAAAGGAAATGAAAAGCCATAGGCATGAAGCTCTGAATTTTATGGGCTTTCATTTATTTTCGGTATGGCTAAAACCTGATATGAGAATGAGTCCCTATGAAGTGCGGTTACAAAGGATTTCAAAGCAAGTGAATAAATTTGCACAAAACTCTAGTAGAATAGCACTATTATGTGGCTTTCCCCAATTTTATTTCTTTCCTTTTCACTTTTCTCTCCGTTTCACTTTTCTTTCCTTTTCACTTTCCTCCCAGAATATATAAGAAAAAGATTACTGTAAAGAGTATTTAATGAAAATAAAATGTAAATATTTTTATGCCCTTCCTTTCAGTGCTTTACTGTCCCATAAGGGCCAAAGCAGACCCCTACAGGGCACAAGTTAAGGGATTTGTTAACAAGCATTGCAGGAGTACATCTGTATGGATGCCTTTGATAAGAAGCCACATGCAACTAAACCTGAATTAGTTGAAAAGATGCACAGTTGCTGGGGTTATTTTGGTTTAAGATCAAATAGTCTAGACTTACACAGTAAAACTCCAATAAGGAATATCAGAGACCAGAGTCTGTACAAGCCACCAGGGGGGACTCACTCCTCATCTATACCCTTTATTGAAGCAAGTACCAGAAAAAAAAACACCTCTTCTAGATCCAGCTCCAGCAAGTGACAGGTTTCAGCTGAGAGCTTATCTTCCTGAAAGCTAGAAGAGCTTTCCTATTAAATCTCATAAATCTGCAGTGCCTTTTTTTTTCCCATTCTGCCCCTGAGTTTCTCGGACGCTGATGGCAGCAGAGCCAGGACAAGTCTGGCATCGGAGATGCTTCCAGAGGGCTGAGCTTGGCCMTGCAGGCCTGCAAGCTCTCACACCTACTCACAACCCACCACTGACTTGCCCTTAGTCTATGGGGCTGGCAGGTGTCTCAGCGCAGCCCCTGCTCCTGCCTTCTTGCCCATCAGTCTCGCTGCAGCTCAGTGGCTCTCAAATCTGTGGCCACAARAACAGCCACACAAAGTCTTTTTTGGCATGGTGACTGTACCACTTCTCCATAGTGGCCAGTGACAGGACAAAGGGTATAAATTAAAACACAGGAAGTTCCATCTCCACATGAGGAAGAACTTCTTCCCTGTGAGGATGACAGAGACCTGGAACAGGCTGCCTAGGGAGGTTGTGAAGTCTCCTTCTTTGGAGATCTTCCAAACCCACCTGGATGCCACCCTGTGCCCCATGCTCTGGGTGTCCCTGCTGGAGCAGGGAGGTTGGACTGGATGATCTCCAGAGGTCCCTTCCAACCTCAACCGTTCTGTGTGATTCAGTGTAGAAGGCAGCTACTCTTTAGTGGCTATTGCATTCTTCCCTCTGCTCACTATCAAAGTCTTCTGCTTTATTTTAGTTTCATTATATCTTTCACTATGTAATAATAAATAATAAGTCTTTAAAATTAAATATTAAATAAATAATACTTTAACTCAAATTTTTCCCTTTTCAAACACAGCTCTGAAACATGACATGTTTATTTTGTGTGTTTTACTGTGTCTCACTGAACAAGAGCTAAAGTCTATGTGTGATGTACAGAACCTGRAGTTCTATCAGGAAAACTATGTAATTTTTGAAGTCAGACTTAAAAGCCAAATATTAGGTGGTACTTGATTAGATGGTAGAATTCTTATCTGTAGAAACACTTATTTCTGTTTGCTGAGTATTTCTATTTCTTGCGTTATCTTTTGGATTAAATAAGTTTGGGCTTCTGAAATCCAATTCTTAATTTTTTGCTACTACTTCTTTAGTATGTGTAAAATATTTCCTTAGCATAGGCGCAGGTTATATGAATAAATACTAGAAGTGCTTTTAGATATTATGTCTAATTGAAAAAATAGAATGTGGTATTTGTAGCTTGTACTTTTTATTGGATTTCTGGCATAGCACAAAATTGAATACCTATGTCTTGCATATATTGTTGCTTTTTCACTTTTAACAAATACAATTTTTGATCAATAAAGAGCGTGTGGACATGTATAAATCAGGAAGTTAACACATGAAAAATAATTAAATTAATACAAGTTTCCATATTTCTATTATATTAAAAACTATAGTTTTATTTTCTCTCAATTGGATAGGGATTACACTTTCTTAGATGAAGTACTGAACTTTTTTTTATCTGTTKCCATGGCTGGGACTAGCAGTATTGCTGATTTAATGGAGTAAGAACTGACCCAGTTTAGTCCACAGAGCTGATCTAGCAGAAAAATAGAAAATAGATTTCTCTGTGTGTGTTTGTGTATTGCACTGACAGTCAAAAACAAAGGAGTCTAATTCCAAAAGTGCTTGAAATAGTTTTTGTTTTATTGTTTCAGACCCGAGGAGCAAAAGCTGCTGTTTTTCACCATAATCCTAATCTACATTAAAATCAGACTTTTAATCTATCTTTATTTATGATAGGGAGATTATGCTTTCCTATGAAAACCTCTCAGTCACATTTTGACAGCTTTTGTTATTAACTGCATCCTGTTCCTACCCTTCTGGCACATGCCTGTGTACTGGGCTGCCAAGTTATCCGGTTGTATGCAAGTCAGAGCTTGGGTTTGCTGCTCTTTCCCTAATTGCGCAGGGCAAGGTTTTTCCCCAGCCATTCCCGGGCAAAGCATGAGAACAGGCCAAAGAGAAGTGAAGAAGGGGGAGATGAGACTCATCAGCAGTCATCTTCTGTATTTATAAACTGTTTTTCACAAAAGAATATCCCTGTGCTGGCTTCGAAGGCTGTACCTGACAGTAGAGAACATGAGTGGCTCGAGTCAATAACATATCAGATGGCTGCATAAATTCTCATCCATGCTTACATTTGGAAATATGTCATCTGATTAGACTCCTCCGCAGTACCAGAACGTCCTTAAAGTGGGGTGGGCTTGATATGACRTTGATTCTGAGAACTTGTGAAAAGTATTGGCTACAATATGAGTTAAGAGATTGCACTTGTTTTCATCATTTGAATGTAGATTTTCTCTTCTTTATTTTGCACGGGGAACTTTGTGAGCCTTTGAAATTATGCCTTAACAAATGTTATGTCTGATGAGTCAAGGAAACTTGCCTTTTATGTGTTTCTGGTGATCTTATTTTTAGTTTCTCCCATTTCCCTATTTTACGCAGTTTTCTCTTTCATTTTTCACCCGTGACTGGAGCTACAATGTCTGAACAAAATGTAACATCAAAGGCAGAAATTCTTTTTCTTCACAAATTAACAATGATAAAGGTGGTAGTGCTACRGTTGGATTAATTAAGATTGAAGAGAATTTGACAAAACAGATGAATATTCTTTGAAGCCATGTGACTGGGGATGAGTCTGCTTATTTTTTTGTTCCTCTTTTGGCGAAACGAAACGTTCCAACAAATAGTATAAAACCAAGAAAAGTAAATATGTTTCAAGTTTTTCTTTTCATTTTGTTCATCGCTGGAAACAGTGAATTGGTCTGTAAGTCATCAGATCTAGAAATTTCGTATACCTTTTGTGGTAAGTAAAAGATGGCTTATTCTTTCCTTAAATGGTGTTTGCACAATAGCTTCTGTAGCCTAAGGAAATGTGATCTTTCTCACTTGCTTCTCTAATGAATACAGAAAAAAATGGTAATTAGAGTGTATTTATTTCTGTTATTATTCCCATATTTTAGGAATTACACTGCATCAGCATAAGTAGTACACAAGGCTGGTTGCATCAGCTATGAAAAAAAGAGAGGTTTACTACTAAGTAAAGCAACCATGACTTTGTTTAGGTAGAAATTAAAATGTAAGAGATTTAAACTTGGCCTGTGAATACCATACTGCCTAAATGATGCACCTGGATTTACCAGAATGTTTGAATTAATAGCTTTAGGCGTATAGGAAAAAGAAAGGCCTAATGTAATGAAAGACCCTTCTGTAGGGTTGGGGTACCTGTTGTGCTCTGGGGCCACACTGTGTGTCACCTCTGCACCTGCTGTGTCTGTGTTATAGGTTGTTGGATATAYTTAGTTTCCTAGATTTTTTCCCTAGATTCCTGATATTTTCCTTTTTTCATGGATTTTGCAATAGCTAAGCCCTGATGTTGGGAGACCTCTCAAGCAGAGCTCTGATCAGGGGTGCCCATGTGAACTCAGCAGCAAGAAGAGGGGCTTTTGAGGAGATATCTCACAAGCAAAGGACCATATCTTTTAAAAATGTGTAGGCATTACCAGTGTATATCGCTTGTAAAACGCTATGTAAGTTAAGGCACAAGAAGGAGTGTTCGTTTGATGTACTTTGCCTTGCATTAATGCCCACTCTTTAAATGTAACAAAGTGTAAAATATTGCTATCCCTAAGCTTGCAAATAAAGCCTTCAAGACCAGAGTGAGTTACATCTGCCCATTCTCTGTCATATTTTCCCCCATTTTTTTTTCTGTCATAAGAAAATTGTTGCTGATTACTGTTGGTTAATCAGTTTCCCTTTGCACGTGCCTTGTTTTAATCCCCAAAATACAAGGCAGCACTTTTCTTTTCAAGTTACCATAACACTGTTTTTGCTCCCTGAGGTGGGGAGCAGCTTGGCCTGCAGGTACATCCACCTCCTACGCTATCTGCAAGCCCATGATGTTTAATAGGAACAGGCTTGGAAAAGCAGAAGAAGCAGTTTCTAGAATTAAGATGAAAGTACTGAATGGAATTCCTTCTGAAGCCTGGCAATAAATGATGTTTTTTAAATAAAATACCAGATAAGGTGCTCTGGATTCGATTAGATATGGAGCATCTAGTGCTAAGATCTGCTTTGTGTTTGATATACAGTGTTAAGGGACTCAGTCATAAAGGACACATAGTCACATTTACTTACAAACATTTATTCTGGAAAATAAGCAGGTCCATTAAAATCATGTTTACTTATTGTTATCAGGCTTCTACAATTTCCATGATTACTATAAGAAGATATATTTTCATCAGAGGACCATGCTGATATAGGGCTAATAAAAAGCATGTGTGTTCAAGTAGAAACAAAGGTACTGTGGCCTCCACTTGTTTGTGTGCAAAATATCAACCTAACAATTGACTTTTCTTACAACTTAATCTCAGCTTAGTATGATTTTAGTTTTGAATTCTAAGCATATGAGAAATTAGAAATAGAATGTACTGCTTGCTATATTTTGTATTATATAACTATACATTATGTACCTTATATTAAATAAGTACTTAAAATAYGTGTTTATATAAAATAAGCAAATAAGCTTTTATTATTTTACTGCAGAAGTCTATTCACACTAAATATATTAAATGCTTTTTTGTCCTGTAGATTCTATACTTCAGACCTTCATATTTAATATAACACCTTGCACCATGGTGAATAAACCCATCTGGAATGTTGTTCTTACCTGGATTCCACGTAAGTCTCTCTCATTTAGAGAATTATATTCTATAAATGTAAAAATAAAAATATGATACAAGCAAAAACCTAACACTTCATTCAAAGTATTAAACAATTTAAGAAAGCAGTTTCAGTGACTGCATAAGGAATTGTTAATGTGATGGACAAAGAAAAATGTGATTTCTAAGACATTTGTGGAAATCAGTGCATGTGAGTTTGTCTTGAGCAGTTACCAGAGCTGTGCACACTGACTGCACTGTGCTTTGAAACTGGAGGCAGCTCAGGTATGCGTGCATTTGCATTTGTCCAGAAGAAGCAGGTGAGCTTTTATGGAAAACAAGCTCTTCTCATYTGGATCTTTTTGAGGAGAGATAATACCATTTGACCATCTAGGTGAGGCAGGACTTCTGCTAAGGATATGCATATTCCATAGGCTGAAAGTGTAGTAATGGGTTATGTAGGGAAATCCAACTTTAAACTTACCTTTAAATCTGCAGTATCGTAATCTTCATCTTCTGAGTGAAAAATTTGGTGCTGGAGTAAGTTTGTCGCCCWACAGCGATGCCTTTGTGATGGTTATCAGGTGCCAAATGGTTTGTAATACATCTTTAAAACTGCAAGAGTGGTGTTTCCTTGGAGCATTTATTTATATTATCTGTGGTGCTGAGTAAAAACTGCTATTTTTATTGAAGAAATTAAAACAAAAAATTGTTTTTTTTTTCATTCATATGTTTTTGATGTTTTTTGTTTAAAAACAGGTTTTGTAGTTCTGGAAATAACACAGAGTTACTTCTGTTAGTATTGCAGGGGGTATTTTTTTTTAATATATATTTTTATCTAAGTAGCATGTTTGTGTTTGTATATGTTTTTCCTCATTACCTGTTACCTTTTTCTTTTGTGCAACGTTTTAACTAGGAAGTGACATCAACTTTTTGAAGGTTGTCTTTAAAGTCTGGTTTGATGGTGCCAGAGCATTAGACTGGAAAGAAGTTCTTTGCAGCGGAGCTGATGATGAATATGCTGCTTGTGGAGCATTGAAAGGAGGTCAGTGTACATAATATTCAGTATTATTATATCTTTCCTTGAAGACTGCCATAAAAAAGTTTTAAAATACTTACCACTAGGCAGATTGCTTAAGTGCCTATTTCATTAATCCATAGTGATAGATTTTCTCTCCAATTTCTTCACCAATTTATATAGCTTGACAGTAGTACCTAGAAAAGCTCCATCAAAGCTAGAGCCCTTCAGCCACTACAGTTGTAGGGCAACTACAGGCCCCTCTGCAAGTGGTCCATCTTAGCTGCAGACCAGGGTTGTTATGTCTGGTTCTGAAAAGCAGCAGCTTAACCTACTGAGAGACCTCATGGTTCATCCGGCTAAGGGAGGCTTTGGAAACAAGGGGACTTGCCAGCTGAAACTCAGATTGCCTCTAGCTTTAGTCAAGCCACATAGACCCGTTAGGTGAACCCTGTGCTCCTCGCTTAGGTAACACAATTCAGAGCAAGCAGTTCTCCAACATCAGAACTTTGTTAAAACACAGAATCTCCAAATTCTGTGCTTTTAATGTCTTTGTTGTGTGGTTTCTACCCCTGTGTGATATGATTAATAATACTGTTTACCTTATTAGCCAATTTTATTGTTAATATCTCTAAAATGTCATGGATACTTTGTTTTTTTTATATTTGACTGGGCTGCACACACAAACCTGACAGGAGCCAGGGCCATTACTAATCTCCAGAACTCCATTCCTAATCATTTAAGTAAGTAGCTAGATGATGTTTAAAGATCTTCTCTACGCAGATATATAATGCTTTCTTTTACTGGAGAAGAGTCAGTCCTGTCATGGGGCCTAAGTAATATTAATGTGACACAAGTTCAGAAACAGAATTAATGATATTGGACTACAAGTTAAAAAGACCAAGGCAGAGGTCACAGTATGAAGTCCATGTTTTCTCTTTTTCTTTAGATAAGGTGCTTATCTGTGCTTGCCTGACACTTCCTCATGGGACTCTGCCAGACCAAGCACTAAACTTAACCTTTACTGTAAACTGGAAATTCTTGCAAGTTCCTATGACAAGTCAGGTTATTGGAGGTATTACTTGAATGGGTCTGTAGGAGATGTTACAGTAGCATTGTGCTTAATTTTTACTTCCTGACATGTATTTAGACAAATAGAGGTAGCTCTGGGAGAAGAAACAGCTAAAGGTTTTATAATTTGGAAGAGTATTGGGGTTGTTACTGAGAGATATGGCACATTGCTTTGAAGTTATTCAGGAAGTTTGACTGATGGCTTTGTGATTAAGTAACCATTTCTGTGATGATGATCCCTTTTTTACAGAAACATTTGCAACAACATTTGATATTAAAGGTGCAAGAACGATGTTTCCAAAGGTACTTTCCAACATTTTATATAAAGAGATAACAGTAGTAAAATAATGTACTTACATATGTATATTTTTTGGAAAGAGATGTTCATCCAAACTGTAGAAAAAAGCAAAAGGAAATGTAAGATTATGCTTAAAATAATGACTCAAGAATTGTGGTGGTTCTGAAAGGGTAGATTTGCTCAGGTTATTCCCCTATGCATAACTTTCCATAAACTTTACTTTGCAATAGAAAAGAATATAATTATTAGTTAATGTCACACTAATTATTCTGTTTGTTTGGTAAACTACTGTGTTTACTTTAGCCAGTGGGGTAAATCCACCTATATTCTTTCTTTCTATTCAATTCATTCTCTTAAGTTCTCCTCACACTCGCATTGCTCCTCCCATAAACTTTTTCCAAAGATTTGAAGAGGGATAGCAACTTTTGAAAGTAAAACTGCTGTCTGAGTGTTGAACCAGGAGCAGCAGCAGTCTTCAAGTTAGTCCAGTCTGGTCCAAACTCTGCCTAATCAGTCTGAATCTTCCCCAAATCCTGACATTAGCCTTAGCATCACTAACCAGACATGCCTATTCATTCCCACAAATGTTGCTAAGGAGCTCCTGGTGGCATAAAATGTGCAGTGTGCCCTTCCTAACCCTTAATTTAAGGTTCGTTTAAACTCCCTAACCCTTAGGGGTTGCTAAGAAGCTCCTGGTGGCATAAAATGTCCAGTGTATCCTTCCTAACCCTTAATTTAAAGTTCATGAGCTCTGTGCTTGCCTGACACTTCTTTATGGGACTCCACCAGCCCAAGCACTAAGCCTAGCCAGAGCCTTTACTGCAAATTGGAAACTCTTTCAAGCTTTCTTGTCTTTGCATTAGTCCTAAGAGCCCTTCTAATCCCCAGTGCTYATCCATGGCATGACACGAGCATCTTCCTCTTCCTTAGAAGAGGAAGGTGTCATAACAGTAGGGTTACATTTCAGTTCAGTAGGGGCCACCATGCTAATTTTTGTTCTGATGCTCACGAGAGTCTCCTGTCTATACAAAGGCATGGAGATAAAATAGGTAGGTAGAAAAGAGTTATATATAGGATTATGTTGCTCAATGGATCATACTGCTGGATGTAGAGAAGCAAAATCCTAGATTTGGAAGGAAAGCTGAGCTAACATGAGGACTGATGTGGCTTCTTTAGTGTCTACTCTGAGAAGCACGGCTGTGTTAGCGCTGGAGCCTTGGCTAMCATTGCAGCAAGCAGGATCCTACTTGGCAGGGAACAGCCTGAGCGAGCTACTCCGCAAGGGAGGGTGACAGCCAGGCTTCAGGGCCCTACTGGCCCAGCAGGACACCATCCCACTGTGCCAGCCATAAGAGCAGGGCAGGGCTGGTGACAGTGACCAGGATCAGCCTCAGTCGCAGGCAACTCTGTAATCATGAGACAGGCCCAAGGCCAAATCAGACCAGGGTAGGGAAAGGACAAGGCCAGGCACAGGCAAAACTTCAACATACCCTGAGTAAGAGCAAGAGCAGGGGCAAGGGCTGGAGCATCAATGTGGCTGCTGAGCAAAGCTGGGAAGGTCCAGCCAATGCCCCTTACAGCCTTTTGTTACGGTTGATCCAAGATCCTGAGCTGTGCTGCGGCAGAGCTGGCCCTGGGCACAGGCAGCCAAAGCTCTAGGAGATGAGGAAGAAGTTGCAGGCCCCGTGGGTGCACTCGTGGGCCTATGAACATGACTTAGGATTGGGCCAAAAGGACCTTGTGCTTGCTTCAGCGTCTGGATTTGGAAGGAAGCAGTGGGCTATCCCAAGGACTGGCAACATCACCCGGTTTCACCAGGTCTAGGACTAACAAGGGCCACAGAGCTAGGGACAAAACCTCTAGAATTACGGTTAGAATCTAGGCTCTTAGGTCAGCACTCAAATACCTTCACTCTAACATTTTTTGCTTTCCTCCCACACTGCTCTCTCTGCTACACTTCATCCTAATCCTACCATGTCCAACCATATAACATATTTTATACTACCAGTAATACCAGTAAAAAGATTGTTTTAGCTTTTATTGAGCTTGTTTTATTGAGTTTGATGTACTCCCATCATAAAGTCACTAAAGCAAACCAGTTTGGCAAGTGCCATTGAGGCTGAATGGGAATAACAAATATCCAGTTATATATATCCAGATTATAGCTGAGAACAACCAAATGGACTGACTAATACAACAAACACTATTACCAGACTGAGCAGAAGCTGTGCAGCAGGGAGCTTGGAGGAATCTTGGGGCAACCATAAAATGCAGGGGGACTGTGTTTGCAATTATCTGTGGCACATATATATATATATGGGGGGAAGAAGGTAGCATAAAGTCCRCAGAAAGCAGGAAAAAAATGCACTGGTATGTCCCAGCCCCTGCTGGATGTAAACTATAGGGGCTAGTGAGGTTATATTGCCTCATAGCAAGAACAAAAAGAAAAAAAAAAAGGCATCACACTTGCCCATTGCTGCAGAACAGAGCTGGTCTGTCAGCTCAGTTAATTCCTCTTTGTGTGTCTATTTTGTCAGCTGGAGCAGAAATCCCAAGTCAGAGCCATTAAACAAGAGGCTGGTTCCGAAAGAGGGAGCCTGGGAAACGCAGGCCTCCCTGGTTTGGGAGAGAGCCCTGAGAAGTATAARCCAGATCACAGCCTATGGTGGCTGGTGCTGGGGCTGAGAAAAGGATATTGTGCAGTATGTTTTCTGTGCCAATATATTTGGATATATTCCTGATAACAGTCTCTGATGGGAATCTTTGTTTTTCCATCCTAACAAAAATATCATGAACTGTACTAACTAGCTGCTTGACCAGAAAGTGGTAGCATTATACATTGATTTTTTATTTCTCTGCTTGCTTTTTAGGGAAAATATACTGTTATTCTGCAAGGATTCTCTGATGATTCTGAGAAGAATATGCTCTTATGTCTAAATTTCACCATGATAGTAAAACAAGAAGCTCTCTGAATGTGAGAAAGGTTACCAATAATTCCTGAACACAGAAATCCCTTCTGCAAGCAGTCGGAACCTGATCTATGAAATAATAAGCACACTAATTATCCGGGGATAGAATACAGCATGTACTGTATGGAAGCCTACATGATGGATAGTCTTATCCATTTATAGCACTGCTGTAATCAGATGCTCAGCCAATGTGCACAAAATCTCTGGGAATCAGGCCCGCTGATTAATCCTGCGAGTGATTCTGGATGGATGTGGGATTAATAACTGCCTTTCTCTGCTGTGCCTACAGTTATGAAAAAGCTGAGTATTTCAGACTGCACTGAACTATAACACAAGAATTTTTGAAGTCACAAACTGCAAGATTTAGGTGTTTTCCACTACTCATTTTAAAACGTGACAGCACTTGAATCCAGAGCCCTCGTTCTCCTATTAACAGTCAACCTCAACTGTGCGTCCGACTCGTGAAACATCTTTCATGCTCCTGTTATTTTCTGATTGTCTTCAAAGGCTTCCTAATCTTCTCCTCTGTTTTCACCACAGTGAAAGAAAACAATAACAACGTGTTATCTGTTATTATCTGATTTACTATCTGATGTAAATAAAATCCAATGTGAAATATCTTACCATATTTGCTGCTTCAGTACAACTGAATTAAGCTGTGCAGAGCTACAGCTTGGATTCTGTACCAGTGTTGAAGTTGTGCACTGTGCTGGTCACTAGGGTGTGCTGCACCTAACAGTTTACTCCAAAATCTGAGGGAAAAGAATGAAAACAACTGAACAAGCCAACAGACCAACCAACGGACCCTCTTCCAGGCTACTAAATAAATATCCAGTCATGCAAATTAATAGAAATAAAAATGTTATGTTCACTTCAACAGAAGCATCCTTTGAGTACCAAACAATATACCCTAAACTGAACAAGACAGGTAGACACTTGATTTTAGGCACTCATTTTAAAAGCTGGCTTCACTGTAACTATAATTTGGCAAAATCATCCTTATTCAATAAAAATATAAGAATTGTGTTATGGTAGAACACAAGAAGCCAAAATTACATCAAAATGGTAAAGGCAATGCTTACATTCAGCCTGCAGACCATGATGGCAGTGCCCCATTACAGACCATTACAGCTGCCTTTTTTTAAATTTAAATGACTTGTAGTCATTTTCCTCTGAATCTAAAGCATCAATCAAAAGTCAGCCAGAAAGCCTACTAATTGTTTTCTACCTTTCTCCTTCTACTCTGTTCATTTCAAATAGTATTACTGTGTATAATTACTAGGTATGTTGTCCCCTTGTACCTGTTTTGCAAAAATGTCCAGAAAAGTAGCTGCCTCAACATTTTTTTTTTTGCCAAAGTGTCCTGACTTCTGTGTTGCACTCACTCTTTCTGGAAGGTAGAAGAAAGAGTTAAAATGATATTTTTAGTAAGCACCAAGTCCTTACTTTAAGTATCAAGAACAAAACCTAACAACTRGTGGGAAGCATTTGTATTCAGTGAGTCCACATTTTCCCTAGTCTTCTTTTTGTTGCTGATGTACTTAAAGGATCCCCTTTTGCTGTCCTGGACACACCTCACCAGATTGAATTCCAAGTTGCCTCTCCCATCTCTGCATACTTGGATGATGTTCCTATATTCCTCCCCAGYGGCGTGGCCCTGTTTCCACCTTTTGTACACATTTTTCCCGTTCTGTTTGAGCTCTGCCAGGGGCTCCCTGACCATCCATGCASATCTCCTACCCACCTTTCTCATCTTCTTGCTCATTGTGAGGCCCCGTAACACAGAAGCACATTGCTAAACAGAACACAAGAGGCACAATTTTATAAAGCAAAGACCTGTCAAAGAGCTTGAGCTTTCCCCTGCACATGATCAAAGGTTTCCATTTACAGCAGCACTGGTGACTTCTTTAGTACATGTGTGAGAGAAGACAGAAATTATTTTGTAAAATGTAATATCATGCAAATTGATTACCTTGAAACTATCACGATACCATGGAGTGGGTGGTTTAGCTGAAGGCGGAGCAATGCTTTGCACATCTTTGTGCCAGGGCATAGCTTTTTCAAAAGTATTTTTATTTTATTTTATTTTATTTTATTTTATTTTATTTTATTTTATTTTATTTTATTTTATTTTATTTTATTTTATTTTTCCCCTTTTACTATGATCTGTAGTTGATAGAAGTTATTATTCAACTTGCTGCCTTTTCAAGCCTGTCAGAGCACAAACTCAGGGCTCAGCAACAAACACTAATCTCTTTAGGATGAAGTAAATTGCTTGGATGCAGCAAAGACTGATGAGAATTTTTCCCTTTTCTTCAAATCATTAGGTCAATAAACTTACTCTTTTTTGATTTTTTTTTAACTTTTTCATTTCCTGTGACAGAATTTGGATGGTATCAATGAGATAAACTATTCACAGAGTATTTCTGGCTTAAAATAATGGAAACTACAGATTCTGATATATCAGTGTATTGCCAAGAATTCCAGTCATCTCTGCAAATTCTCCTACAAACTTAAGTAAATCAAGGGAGGACTAATATAAAACATATTCACCTGAATCTAATAACTAAAATAATCACAAATATCTCTCATCTCTTCCTCGTTACTGTTGTTCTTAAGCAGGATTTGCTGCAGATGGGAAAATAGCTTTTCTTCACCCCCTCACCCTCTGTCACCAAGCAGTTCCTGTAAAATGTGTTTTTTCAATTAGCATGCACACTTTTTGAGTTTTGTCTTAAGATTTCAATCGATAAAAGCATTGAAACTTAAATAACTGAATATGAGAGAAATCCTGCTGCCCACAATACCATATACCTATGCTGGCTCAAATTGTGACATCGTTTGGGCTAGACGCACAAAAAATACACATAATTTGAATATTTTGATAGCATATTTTCTTRCTATGGATGTATACTGGAAGATAAAGCAATCATTTAGTCACCAGCCAGCTTAGCTGGTAAAAAACACATATGTTCATATTGAAATAAAGGCATTGGAAACTCTAGAAAGTAGATCCTGGGCATGCACGATGTGACTTGTGGATCCTAGACACGCACTGCTTGTCTGCTGGAGATACATATGTCCATAACCTTTTCTTTCAAGCAAAGAGAGACTTTATATACAAGYATGTAACACACACACTTGTGTATGAATGTAAATATATGTTTTATAAATGTACACATATGTGTGTGTGCGTACATATATATGTTTATAAAACATATATACTCTGGGCATATATACTCTTATAACAGTTTCTCATAGCTTCTTTCTGCAAACTGTCTGTATATGTTTTTTCCTTAGGTTTTTGAAGAATGTCTGTATTAGCTGAAGGTRCAGGGTTTTTTGGTTATTTTTTTTACTGACGTTAAGTTTGAGAGCAAAGCTTTTGGCAGTAAAAGCCTCCTTTTGGCTCACTGGACAGAAGCGTCATTGATTCTGAGTATTAAGATCCATATCTGTCCCTGTTTGGCAGATATGATTTAGTCCTTGCACTATATTACCATTTTTGTTTGTTTCATTTTTCTTTTTTCATTTTGATAAAGTAATATTGTTTAACAATATCAGTAATGCAACTTAAAAAAACTACAGTATGTAAAAATAAGCACAGAAGAGGGGTAAAAACAGCATTAAAATCCTCTAGAAAGCAATAGAATTGAAAATCTGACCTTCGCTTATGGATAAAAGAGAAAATTAGCAAAAAATCCACAYTTGCTGTTCACCTTGACCCTAAATTAGCATTGCCCTAGAAATGTCTTGACTTTATTTCATATCCAACTATCAGCTGAACACATTGATAATTATCTTTTATAATCATATATTACAATGAAGAAATCTGTCCCACGTTTGTGGATGTTTCATGTAGTGGAATTTTGTTTGTATTGTTAAGGCATTAAAAATTAGAACAATAAACATCATTAACGAACATTTCACACTTGACAGTCAGAAAAATAGGCTGTCAGCAGCAATATGCCCTTCTGATTCCTGAAAAAATCTTCAAAAAATGCTTTGGCAGGACAAACCAAAATATTAAAATAAAGAAAAAATTTTGACAGCTAAATTAAAAGGAAAACAGTGGCAGGGTTGAACAAATCCTTTTGATAACTTCAGAACATTGTATGTTTATTTTGATCAAAAAGCTTAAAAATGGTGAGCTCCAAATAGCTTAAACTTTAAGGGCAATATTGCTCAGAAGATGGCAGCCTTAAAAAGACTCAAAAATTGATGTTTCAACAGCTAAATTCTGCTACATGTTTGTGCTGACAAATTGGCATTATTCAAGGAAGRACCCTTGTGCCAAAAAATCATAGAGATTCTGTTGATGAAGCCAAAGTCAAGCTGTGATGCCCACATGAAGACCTCCTTGGGAAGCAGAGTTGCCCTGCTGGATACAGAKGCACAGCCCAGTTCTAGTCACACATGCTCAGGACTGGCAGCAGGATTTTAGTGAAAGGTGCTGCCCACTTGGGGCCTGATTTTGCCAGCTTCTAATAAGAGCTAGAGCTTCTGCACCTCTCCAAGCTGGAGATTCTCAGCAACATATACTTGCCTGTATGGCAATCTTTTCACAGTCAAAATGCCGACAATTTCATTTACATGTAGATGAGACATCTGCGATAAAATAAACAAACTGCAGTGCCTCCCAGGCTGGTATCAGTTCAACTGCGAATGTTTTTTATATAAAAGCGACTCGATTCGTGTGAAGCTGCTGCTACTACCTGCTGCTCCACCAAAGGGCATAGCCAATCCACATGTTAAGTATTTTGAAGCAGAAAATAGAGCATAAGATGGTGAATATCACTTCAGTGTTTAAGATGTGCAAGAAAATAGTGGAAAAGGTACAGATGGGGTTAACAGTTGCATAAAATACATAATCAGAAGCGATGAGATGTTTAAAGTATTTATAGGTAAGCGTCAAATGCAATATCAATGAGTCAGGCACCAATATTAGATTTATTTGAAAGCAGAGACTTTCTCCAAACATTCTGCCAATACAACAAGGATGACTAAGGCACTACAGTTTTGAGAGAAGAGCTAAAATTTGCCATAAGCTCAAGAAATTTCACAACTACAATTACCATAATCAGGATTTTTAATATTTGGATTGCAGTGGTGCCTTCTGTAAGTAGTTTGCAATCAGGATTGTTGCTTCCCTGCTGTGTACTGTATAAATATTTATGAAATTAGTGGAATAAAATCTTAGGCCTTTTTTGAAATGTGATTTATGGCCAAATCACATATGCAAACATCTAACCTACGGCAAGTCTCCCAGAATCCTAGAATTTTGTAATGGACAATGAGATTGCTTGACATTTCCATAGGGCAATCCAGCTATCCTATAGCATGAGTCGACAGCAATTCTGTGTGGCATAATAAAATTTTCAATATAGAATGACAGACAAATGGAATTAGTTCTTTTTTTTTTCCATTAAAATAAMCTATATAAGGTAGATGAAAACATTGTCAGTCTAAAGAAGCGTACAGCATGATACACTGGGATACATGCTAAGCATGAAGATTTTGCTAGAGTATCAATCTGGAAATGGAATCAGATGCTCAGCTATGATGGGTGTTGATCATGTTCATTGCATTCATGATTAAACTGATGTTACATA